TTCCCCCGTTCACTCTCATCCATTCACTCACTTATTCATTCACTTGTATCTGGTCGGCAGAGACCTCGGGGGGCTGCGTGCATCTCACTCACCATGGCATGTCCCGTCCTCCACGATTATTGCTTGCTTCATTCTCAGTCAGTCCTCGAGACACTTGCTCCCCAGACCTCAGCCCAGCACGTGGCGTGGAGGAGATGTTAATCATACTCCCATCACACCCACAAGAAAATCCTAAGTGGTTCTCACAGCCTTACGTGATCTGAGCCCAAAGAACTCTCTCCTTCTCACTATCTGAGCTCCAAAGCCACAGGTTGAAATCCCAGCTCAGCCATTTAATAGCTGTGTGACTTTGGACAAGTCCTTCAACCTCTCTGAGCCACCAACTCCTCCTGGGCAAAGTGGGGACAATAAAAGCACTTGCTTTAAAGTTGTGGTGAGGATAAAGCCAGAGAACCCAATGGAAAGCTCTTAGCCTGTGCCTGGCAGGAGTAAACACTTAGCTACTGTTACCTGTTGTCTCAGTCTTCCTCTGCCCCTCTCAATAACCCCACCCCCAAATGCATCTTAGGGCTCCCCGAGGGAGCAGCCATGGAGGCCCGGCCCTTCAGTCTCCAGATGAGAATGCAGAGGCCCCGTGGAGGGTCACACAGCCAGCCTGTGGCCAAGGCAGGACTTGAACCCAGGACTCCAGCCAAGGACCCTGCTGGCCCCACCCTCTCAGCCCAGCCCCGAATGGCAGCAAGAGGAGCCTCCACTTACATGCTCAGACCCTGTCAGGCTCAACAGCTCTCTTCTCTGCTTTCAGGAAGGAGTTAATCCCGAGGTCTGTCTCTTGCCCCGTGTGTAATCTTCCTTATGATGCTTATCATATTTCTGGGGCTGCATCTACATGGCTTTGAAGGCTCTGGCAGGAGTCTCGCCTGGCCTTGCCATGAATGGGCTGAATTACATTTACAAGACGCCTTTAATGCCCTGTGGTCCCGGCTTCCTTCATGGGGTTGTTCCTCCTCCCTTTTCTCTCTCTCCCTTTTAATATGGTCACCGGTTTGGCTTGCAGAATGCGGTTGGGATCCCTAAGAGAGAAGTCAAGACCATAGAATCCCTTCCAGATCTTCCCTGCCTCCCCCTCCCCCTGCCCCGCTCCCAGCAGCCTCTGTGCCAAAAGGACCCAAGGAAAGAAAACGTTGCTCCTGCCAGGATTTCAGCGCGGAGGAGAGAAGCCCTGCTGGGATTCCAAAAACTCAACTGGCAAATGGCTCGTACAGGAATTCTCCTCTGACTGCGTACCTGAGCAACAGACCCACGAGCCTTGTGGAGGAGATGGGAGGTGTCCAGCCTGGAGGCATGGCGGCCTCACCTGCAGAGGGTGGGCTTGAGGGGCAGGGCCATCTGGGTGAGGAGCCCTCCCACCTCTCTCCCCATCTCCCCATCCCAGCCCTCCCTTCAAAGCTTCTGCACCTCTGGAGGCCTTAGTCGTTCCTTAACTATTTGTTTTTTGCTAGTTCTGCCTCTACAACTGGATCAAGTCCTATCTGGTATATCTATATCTGTATCTGTGTCAATATCTATATCTGTATCTATATATCTCATGAATATCAAACCCAGTCAAGAGGTTTGGCCACCCTTGAGATGGGGGTCTGGGAGGGGCGACCTAGTTTGTCTCCCCATCTCTCTGCTTTCTTTTTTGTCCTCTGACGGGATGAGAAAGGGCAGGAGTGCTATTTTGGGGGAGTGGATAAGTCACATTTTCCTCCTTTGAAAGAAGCACAGGGCAGAGCCAGGTCTGGGGTCCACCACCCCACCCCCCGATCCCGGTCCCTCTGAGCAAGTCCTCCAGGTTCTTGTGAGATACAGCTTAGCTGCTGGCGTCACTGGGTCCGGGCGGCCCCCAGCTCCTGACAGCTACCTGGCTCAGGTAGAAGGCCCAGAACCCCACCCCAGGGCCGCCTGTCATTTCGTCAGTCCAGAGAGTGGGTGTCCTCCCACCACGTGTTTATTTCACACACCGTCCCCTTGGCTGCACACACGTGCTCCTGTGGCCCGCAGGCAATAGAGCAATAGGCAACAAAAAAAGGGTAGGAGGCGAAGAGGCCAAGAATACCAAATCTGTGACATCTTCCCCCAAGGAAAGGTGGCTGTCTCCCATGTCTTTTTTTTTTTTTTGGCCGTGTTGGGTCTTCATTGCTGTGCGCGGGCTTTCTCTAGTTGCGGCGAGCAGGGGCTACTCTTCGTTGCGGTGCACGGGCTTCTCATTGCGGTGGCTTCTCTTGTTGCAGAGCACAGGCTCTAGGCGTGTGGGCTTCAGTAGTTGTGGCGCATGGGCTTAGCTGCTCTGCGGCATGTGGGGTCTTCCCGGGCCAGGGCTCAAACCCGTGTCCCGTGCATTGGCAGGCGCTTCTTAACCACTGCGCCACCAGGGAAGTCCCTCCCATGTCTCGATAAATCATGTTTTATCTGCTTTCAAAAGGAACATGTGGAAAAGCCCATTTCTCTTTGATGACACTGTCCAGTCTGTGCAGTGTCATTCGTCTGCTGGGGACACAGCCCCTCTACCAGGCTTGGGTGAGAAAGGGAGGAAGGAGAGCTTGACGGAGCACCTGGGAGAGGGAGGGAGATGCACGGACCAGCAAGTGCCTATTGGACGTCTGCTGTATGCAGAGCCTTGTGCTGGGTGCAGTGAGAGTTGCCAAGGGGAAGAAACAGCTGCAGGAGGGGCCTCTGGTTCACAATGAGTGCAGGGGGATGAGAGACACAAATGCGCAACAAGTCACACACAACTTGATGAGTTAGATGCTCCATGGTCGGGTTGGAACGGGACTGGTGACCAGTACCTGTGGTGACGGGGAAGTCAGGGATGGCTGTAGCAGCTGCTTCCAGGGCCCCCCAGGTACCCTTTCCATTCTCCTCTACCTGCCAAAGGCTGCTTACAGGAAAACTGGGGGCTTTGTTCTAGCCACGGGAGCGTACTCGGCCAGAAGCTCAACAACAAGCAGGGAGTTGGTGATCAACACCCCAGCCTCCTCGCCCTTGGTTGGGATACCTCTGCAGTCTGTTCTCCACGATCCCCCGAGTTCCTCAACAGAAATGAGCTGCCGCCACCCACCATGAAGGACACTTCCTCGCCTGCCCTGCCTTACTTCCCCACTCCCCTCCTGGTACCTCCCAGATCACTTCCCAAATAAACAACTTGCACTCTCACCTCAACAACCTAGACCAAGGCAATGCTTAGTACCCCACTTGGACCTTGATAGAAGAAGCTTAAGGAGATTAGCATGCAGTCTACGTATCTGTTCACTTGCAATGCGCGTCATCTCATTTAGGACTCCATTAATGCAAGTGATGAAAATCCATCTCCAACAAGTTTCAATTCAAAATTTTTGTATTATTTTATATAAGTGGAAAGTACCAGGTAGACCCTGGGTTCAGAGGAACAACTGCATCCAGCTGCTCAAATGATGTCAAAGGAACCTGCCCTTCATCTCTCAGCTCTGCGCCTCAGTCATTCAAGAAACATTTATTGAAGGAATTCCCTGGTGGTCCAGTGGTTAGGGCTCTGCGCTTTCACTGCCGAGGGCGCGGGCTCAATCTGTGGTCAGGGAACTAAGTTCCCACAAGCTGAATGGGGCAGCCAAAAAAAAAAAAAAAGAAGGAAGAAGAAGAGAGAAGAAACATTTATTGAGCACCTACCCTGTGCCAGGTTCAGATTCTTTCTCTTGGTTGGTTTCCTTCTTAGGCAATAAGAAAGATGGTCACTAGGAGCTCCAGGCTTTCATCCTGCCAGCTTAGCAGCTGTAGGAGAAAACCGTGGGAGGAAGAGGACACCCGCAGAAGCCTCAGGGCTGACCCTCACTGGCCCAGATCGGGTCCCCTGCCCATCTCTGAGCCCGTCGCTGTGACTCTGGGTGGCTACGCTGGGTCGCATGCATACCATTGTTGCCAGGGGGTGTGGTCGGCCCCATTTGAACCCACAAGGGAATGGATGAGGGAGGCTCTCCAGAGGGGAATGGGTGGGCTTGGACAACAGATGCCTGTTATAGCTGTGAGGTGAGTGCCTCACCACGTGCTGTGCTCCGTGGGCCCTAAGATGAGACAGACAGGCTTCTGGTGGGAGGGGCTCACAAATGTTTGTAATACACGTCAGAATGTGTTGAGTGTCTTAGGAATGGACGAAATGTGTGGGTGTTCTGGAAAGAGCGTGATTACTCCCAGCTCGGCAATCAAGCTTCTGAAAAGGAGGCATTGGCCTAGACATTGGTGGCCACTGGGCACAGAGACATCAGCTGTGTTAGGCACTGAGTGTCAGACCAAGGAGTTCAGATTCTAAATTTATCCAGTTGTGAAAGGACTATGCTTTCATCTATTTGTTATAATTGAATCTGGCTGGTTCAGAAGAGCGTCCTGGGAAGGTTTGGGGGCTGGCATTTTCCGTGAGCCTTGCCCATACCTGTAGAGGGGTACACCAGCCCAGCTGCAGGGGCCCATACGGCTGGAGGCCAGCCAGGCTGGGGCAGCCGTGCTCCCTTGTATTGGCCTGAGCCTGCCCTGGAAATAGCCACCCAACTTAACTAAGAATAGGAATTCCTATCAGGCTGGCGGGAATGAATGCCGATTTCTCAAGGAGGGATGGGCCTGGAAACAAAACACAGGGGTGGGGTGGGCCAGCCTTTATATTTATTTGCGAGGTCACTTGAGAGATGCATCCGCATCAGGGCGTGGATTCTGTCTTTAGACCCAGACAAGGTGATTTGGCCAAGATGGCAGCCTCCGGGGCTCCTCGTCTGCCCCAGAAGTCCTGGGCCCTCAGCCTGGGGCACCTCCTAACCCCCCGGGGAGAGGTGACCACTCCTCTCTTGTTTCCTTGGCAATGGGCAGAGGTGGTGGTGTTTGGTGGCCAGCTAAGATGCTGAGAAGCCGAGGGAGAGAGAATGAGAGGATAGCGTCCCAGGTCCCTATGGCAGCTTTACCCAGATTCACCCAGCTCACGAGCATCTCTCTTCCAGGCAAAATCCTCTTCCGGAGAAGCCACATCCGGGACGTAGCTGTGAAGAGGCTGAAGCCCATCGATGAGTACTGCCGGGTAAGAGTGTGTCTGGGGCAGGGGAGGGGGTGGTCCATCTGCCAGAGAGTCTATCCATCTGTGAAGGAAGGTTGTCTATACAAAACCCTTTGCTGTGGTCTAGCAGATGCATCCTGAGGCCTGGCGTCTCCTGGCCAGAAGTGTGGGTGTGGGTGTCCCTCGGGGAGGGGTCACCCCGTGACTAGGCCACCTCTGGGGCATGAGGACCGCCAGGGTCACAGCTGAAGCCTCTGTTCCTTTCATGATGGGTCTGTGTTTACAAAACACTCCTTTAAATCACTTCCACCAGCTTGGGAGCTCTGTGAAGGGGCCGCTGCTGAAGGGATTCTGTGTGTGGCATTTTGCTGGATACAGGAGAACTCTTCTTTGAATTCCCTTTGGGACATTTTTAGAATCAGTCCTGAGTTCAGTAGCATCCAAAATGCATATTTGTTTATTCACAGAAGTCTTGATAGATACAAATATTCGTGTATACATCTTTATAGATGCAAGTGCTCACCACACACACACACGCGCACGCACACACGCAGGCACGTGCACGCACATGCGTTAGAACAGTCGATGCGGAAGAGCAGACTGGGCAGCAGCTGCAGGGTCATGAAGCACAGCCTGTTTGTCTTTCCACTTTGTCTGGAGCCTGGGACCCCCTGGGGCCCCTGCAGTGAGGATGAGAGGCTCCCACTTTAGTGGCCTTGGCACATGGCCTCCAGATGGCCAGACCGCCTGGGTTTGAAACCCTGCTGGCTTTGTGAACTTGGGCAAGTTACTGAACTTGCCGGAGCCTCAGTTTCCACATCCGTACAACAGGAAGGAGAGTAGTACCTCCTCAGAGGGTGGTCGTGAGGATGCAGTGACCTGACAGGCATAAGGTAGCAGCACGTAGTGTCTGCGCAGAGGAAACATTCAGCGGACGCTAGCTCTTTGTTATTATTATCACAAGGCGTAAACAGTTTAATGTTACCACTGGGCACCACTGGCTTTAATGGAGATGGAATTTCCTAGTTACGCGAAAACTACTGTGGAGCCTGACTCAAGAATCTTGAGGAGAAGCAAGTGGGGGATGTTTTGTTGTGAGTGCTGGTATTAGACTGAGAAGAGCTGGGGTCAAATCCCAGCACTCCACCAACTAGCTGTGTGACCTCGGCAAGTTGCTTTACCTCTCTGAGCCCCAGTTTCCTGATCTGTAAAACGAGGGTAAAAATAACTGTCTCACAGGGTTCATGCAAGGGGTTGAGCAGGAGAATATATGTCACAGTGTCTGTAACTTCTGAAATGTTCTGTCGCTACATGGAGTTATTACCATAAGGTTCCTTTCCGAACAAATATTTTATAATTTGGAATCATTATGCCTGTCAATAAAATGTTTAAATAAGAACCAAGTTGCTCAATTTCGTAACTGGTGTTCCCAAGACTATGGGGAGACAAGCACTCCCAGATACTCTTCATTAACCCAAGTTTGAATTTCGTGGCTGTGCAGATCATACTTGGTCACGTTTTCTGCCTCGATGATGAATTTCCTGAAGGTAGAAGCTTCTCTTCTTCAGATCAATATTCATTTTTCTCTTTAAAGGGCATTTGCCGTTTCTAGTTAAATTGATGGCTGCAGCCTGAGCTTTTATTTCTTTTTATTCCTTTCCCAAGCAGTTATTAAACAAATTGGCAGAGCTAATGGAGGAGGGGCAAAGGGCAGGGGGGAGCCTCTTGCAGCTGGGATTTATGGTTCCCATCAGCCTTGACCTCCCTGAGCTGGTGGAGCCCAAGGCATCTGCAGTTGGACTCTGTGGAAATGCCGTCTTCTGGGTCGTCTGGAGCAGGAAACTGATAATATCTTATCTCCTGGGATCGGGCTTTGAACAGGACTCTTGATTCGGGATGAGGGCTCCGGAGCCCCAGTGGTGCTCCTGGTGGCTGGGGAGCCATTTAAGTGGGGTCTGCAAGAGGAGGGGCCTCCTAACCTGATTAGCACAAATGAGAACTACTCAGAGACAGGCAACAAGGAGCAATGTCATGGGTTCACCAAGCAGCCAGACAGCTTGCAGGCAGTAATTTACTCTGAGAATGGCAGAGGGGGCAGGGCAGTACAGAAGTGACCTTTAATTCTGCTGAACTAGAAAGCTGGGATCTGTGGTCTAATTGTCTGAGACCTTGGAATAACCTTGGAATGGTCATTAGGGATAAGTTCAGCTGCAGTCCACGGTCACTGCCGCCCAGCATTGCGCTTCACAGCCCTGCCGCCTACTAGTCCAGTCTGTGCCACTCAGGATCCAACCTTTCACTCAGCATCACTGCCCCCCACAGCCAACTTCATGGTCAGGGCCACGTGCAGTCCACTCCATGGCCAGCCATACCTGTCCTCGGACTGCTTGGAACCTCTGGAGTTTTGTTTCCAGGACCCTGCCCATGCAGCTCTGCTTGGCTGGCCAGAATCTTCCTTGGACCTGCTGGACAGGTATATGGGCTCCGAGTCTGGCATTGGCTAGGGATTCAAATGCACCCAAACTTGTGAAACCGGCTTTGTGCACGGAGTAGCCAGCTCCTCTGCCAGGGCTCAGATATAGAAAGTCCGACCGTGCAGCGGACCCTCCCAGACTTCGGGCTCCCTGCCCTCGCCAGCCAGCCAGTCCCGCCGCCTGATGGCAGCCTCACAGCCCAGATCTCAGTGTTAATTTTAAACATATACGGAGCAGATTGGATGAGCGTCACGGAAAGTTTACCAAGCGCCAGCCAGGTGATTGTCTTATGTGGCTCTTGAGGGCCAGTGTCTATCAAGAAGGGTTCCAAACGCTTTTCTGTAACTCCATAAATTAATGTAATGGGCAACATGGCTATGCGGTTAATATTTAATGGTTCTGTGGGTCTCAACAACTTGAAGACTTTCATCTCACTAACAAGCGTGAGCTACACTTCAGGGGCTCGGACCAACAATCTACCCCGTAAGTGACTCCATCTACTCCATTCCTGCGTGTGAGATACATGTTTGCAGTGTCTGTCTATGGGATAAAATAAATATCCAGGGGCAGGGGGCAGTGCGAAAGAGTGTTTGAGAATAATCGGCGTACCCTCCACCACGTAACGACGTTTCTACAAGTCTCCATTTCCTGGTGGGTGCAGCTAGAATTTTTTTGTTACCCAAAAAGCCGAGCTCGCTTCTATCATCCTGCTGTCCACGAGAGGCTTGCTTTCAGAATCAAAGGCTCTCTTTGTAGGTGGGATGAGAGGTTGGCTGGAGTTAGACTGGGGGAGGGACTCCAAGCCTAACAAGGATGTCAGCCCTGAAGGGGTAAGGATCTCCCCTCCCCACCCTCTGCATCTCCCAGACTCATTAATTTTTAGCCCCACTTCCCATATTCGAAAACTTTGGCTATTACTTCGTGGAGGTTCTTAGCCCCAGCCGTTCTCCCTCCCACCGTGGGAGTTTTCCACCATAGCCCATCATTGTCTCTCACCTTAATAAAGAAAAAGGTTCATGTTGCAAGAAAAACAGACTCCTTTAAGAAGCACCAGGGGGGCTTCCCTGGTGGCGCAGTGGTTGAGAGTCCGCCTGCCGATGCAGGGGACGCGGGTTCGTGCCCTGGTCCGGGAGGATCCCACGTGCCGCGGAGCGGCTGGGCCCGTGAGCCATGGCCGCTGAGCCTGCGCGTCCGGAGCCTGTGCTCCGCAACGGGAGAGGCCACAACAGTGAGAGGCCCGCGTACCACAAAAAAGAAAAAAAAAAAAAAAAAAGAAGCACCAGGGCTCCCTGGCATGCTCAGTCCTAGATACGGGGAGAGTAACTTTGTTCTTGTGCCCCTTATTCTAAGGCAGGCCTGGGCCAGATGTGTTGCTAATGGGGGAGACTGAGGCAGAGAGCCAAGACTGATGCGTTCAGGCCTCCTGAGTGGTCTGGTGCTCTGAGGAAACCCAGGTGGCAGAATCTCTCCATCTCCTCTGGTCCAGACAGACCCAGGAAGAAAGCACTTCCAGCCTGGGATAAAGCTGATTGTGTCCATTTTCTACTTAAAGGCCTTCAGAGGAGCCTCATCGGCTCCACAAGAACCTCTGACCGGCTGAGCCGGGCCGTCTGTGGGGTTGTTCCATGGGCTGCTTCAGCCTCAGCTCCCGCCCTGCAGCCCAGTCTGCAGAAGTGCAGCCGCCCCCAGCTAGCCAGACTCCCTTAGACTTCCACCCCTTGGCCTGTGCTAATCCCTTTCCTGGGGATGCATTTGGCTCCCACGATGCCCCTCCCAGAAGCCTTCCACCTCCCCGGAGGAAGCTGGCCACCCCTGCTGTCCAGAATACTCCGTGCACGCCTCCACGCTGCACACTTACCCTCCATAGGAGGGTAATTTCTGTGTGTCTATCTTCTCCAGACCAAGAGCTCCTGGAAGGCCCCATCTGTTATCTTTGTGTCTTCACTAACAAGCAGGAAGCCTGGTCCCATGCGGGAGGCCAGGCAGTATCTGACGACACAATGCAAAGATTGCACACAAGCAGAGGAAACCTCCAAGGAGGGTGATGTGTCCCCAAGGCCCCAATTACTAGGCTCCCTTGTGAAATGCCTTAAACTGCACTATTTCCATTACAAAAGAATTCGCTCCTTAGATCCTTCAAAAAGAGAACTCATGTGTTTGACATACTCTGATTTATAAAATTTCGGTGAGCCCCCAGCTTCCTAGACGCTGATCTAAGAGGAATAGTCCGGAGCAGGTTAGAAGCAGCCCCGGGGGTGAGAGTGGAGGCCAAATGGGTAGGACTTCAGCCCCCTCAGCCCATTCACCCCCCACCGCATACCCCTACCCCACCCAGAGTCGCTGGGCTTTTACTCTAAGATTCCCATTGATTAGAAACCAAAATGATGCTGCTAAAACTAGGACAATGTTTGATCCTGTGGAAAGAGCAGGACACCCCCAGTTGCTTTGACAAATGCAGAACCTTGCTTTTTGTCCTGGGATAGACATAACCCAGCATGGTGGGCTTCGTGGAGGGAGATCATTTCGAAGCAGAGGGTCTGAGCACAGTCTGCCTGGGGCTCCCTCCCATGCCACTGCTGTACTTGCAAAGACTGGGCTGGTGATAGATTGGACACTGAATTCACTGGTAGTGGTGCTGTTTGCAGTCCTGGAGCCATTGACTGTTAGAGCTGGAAGAAACTTCAGAATGTCTCTGGCCTGGATTTGCCTAGCTGTGTTCCATGGGCTGTCAATAGGAATTGTTTGGAAAACCAGCTCCACAGTCAGAGACTTGTGGGTAATGCTGGAGGAAGTACAGAGTTGCAGATCAGACAGAGCATAGGCTCTGGACTCAGACACCTCATTCAAAATCTCGCCACTGATCAGCTGTATGGCCTTGAGAAATGATTTAATCTCTCTGTGCTTTCGTTTCTTCTTCTGTTAAACTGGAATCATAGTCATACTCATCTGAGTTAATGTGATGATTAAATGAGTCAAATTCCCAGGATGTCGTTATTATTAATAAGTACTGGCCTGAACACAGCTCTGTAGGTTTCTTGCCTGCAGGACTTCTCAGAGCCTTTGCTGTGCTAATGAACATGATGCCCACCAAGACCAAGATGGGGATCTACAAGGCACCATTTCACATGTGCCCACAGAACTGATTTTATCTCATCAAACAGGTGTTCTATGAGATACGGTTTGAGATTCTGAAGCTAGTCTATTTTATCCTAGAAGAAACAACAACCAGAGAGGTGAAGTGGCTGCCCAAGGTCATGGAGCAAGTATATAACGGCAGAATTGGACCTACTGTAGAACTGAAGTCTCCTGACTCCCATTCTTTCTAGTATACCTCACTGCTTTCACCCAAAGGATAATGATAATGAAGACAATAGTGTAACTAAATTTTACTGTTTACTCAGTGCCAGGCACTGTGCTAGGCTCCTCATATTCATGATCTCATTGAATCTCCTAAAAGATAGGCGCCATATGAGATCTATTGTACTGAGCTCAGAGAGGGCAAGCAAGGCATTCAGCATCACACAGCCTGTTAACGGTAGACCTAGGACTCAAACTCCCGTCTGCCTAGCCCTGACTTAACCACCCCATGGCATACATCCTGAATGTCCAATGGCAGAGTTTTAGGCCTGAGCCGGCGGTGGTGGCCCTGAAGATGCCCATGTATTGGTCACTACCTGCTCCTCCAAGAATAGCTAGGTTTGGGGGTTCCCCGGCTCTGGCTGCCATTGCCAGCCCAGGCCGTGGGGACTGACTGCTCAGCACCCGGCTCTCCTGCCAAATGATTTTGGCCAGAGCTGGATTTGGCGGCAGCTCTGATGGAAGCTGCTCTGAGCCAAGAGCCTCTTGTCAGCCTGAAATCAGGACGAGCCCTCAACGCGGCTCTCCTCGGGGCTCCCTGTTAAATAAAGATGCCGCAGCGGTTCGCCCAAAAGACCTCTTTGTCTGAGGCCCTTCCAGCCCACGCGTCCTCTGCCCCTGGAATGCCGGTCTCTGTCGGCATGAAGAGCCCCTGTGTTCACCACTGCTGCGGGCGGGGGGGCTGGCCAGCAGCTCTGCGCCTAAGTGGGAGGGCGCCTGCCCCACTCCCCCGCTCCCCGACCCCCGCCTCCTGCTGGTCAGGGAGGTCACCCTGGCAGCGACTCTGCACACAGCTTGGGCCCCTGGTAACACTTCCCTCCTGCCTCCTGCCCATCCCGGCCCATTAGTGCTCCCTCCTGGCACCCTCCTGCTTCCTGCCAGCAGCCCTTGCTGTCTGCACATGCCTGGGCTCCGCTTCTCTCTGTCTCTCTCTGTTTGTCTCTCCCTCTCCCTCTCAGTCTCTCTGTCCCTCTCCATCTCTCTGTATATCTGCTTGTTTCTCTCTTTGTCTCTATCTCTCTCTACTTCTATCTCTCTGTCTCTGTCTCTCTCACTCCATCTGTCTCTCTCTCTCTTTCCATCTCTCTTTGTCTCTGCCTCTCTCTCCCTCCATCTGTGACTCTGTCTCTCTCTGTCTTTCTCTCCCTCCATCTCTTTGTCTCTGTCTCTCTCTTTCTCTCTTCTTCCTCACTTTTTCTTTCCTTCTGCCCTTCTCTCCTGGGGGAGAAAAGAGCACATACCATGTGCGTTAAATGAAAACTTGAACACTCTGGGGGTAAGTTCCACCCAGCCGGCGTCGAGCACAGGGCTTCACTCTGCCACTTCAGTAGTGGCTTCACCCCCCAGGAGCCTCAGCGTCCCCACCATAAATGGGAGCAATGATGGGTACGTCCAGGACAAAATTGGACGGCACATCATCAGATGTGCACTTGTGAGGGCAGGGGCTGTGTCTGGCTCATGCCTGTACCACCAGGGCACACACTGAAAGCTCCATGCTTGTTGGATGGTTGGAGAGTCCGGGAGCCGAACATAGTGCCTGACACGTGGTGTTTGCTCATTGAATGTTAATTTCCTTTCTTTTTTTAAATCTCTCTCCTGGTCATGGGGTGGGATCTGTTGGAGACCCTTGGAAAGCCACAGGCTCTGGAAGGAACAGCAGGGAGTTACACAGTGTGTCTTACCTGCTAAGGTCAGGTCTTGTCCCATCTTGCCCAGGTGTGGGTTTGGCTTCGGGAGGGGCCGTCGTGCTCAATGCCACACTTAACTTGTTACCTGAGCAACTCAGAGAAGCAAGTGATCACTGCCCCCTTCCTCAACACTGTACTTCTGTCAGTGCAACCCACATGTGCTTTTTTTGCCCCATTATCATGTCCCACCACTACCGGACAGTGGTTCTGCACACCAAACTCTTAGTCATTCATTCATTTTTAACAAATACTTACTGAGTGCCAGACACTCTTCTAGGATCTGGGGGCATAGCAGTCAACAGAACAGACTAAAGTCTCTGCCCACATGGAGCTTACCTTCTAGCAGCGTCTTTCCCACCTGTGTGCAGGCCACGTGGCCTCCCTGACCCCTCTGTCTCCTCAGTAACACGGGAATGAGATCTGCCCTCACAAGGACCATCGTGAGGCTCCCGGTGGCCACACTCATGGAGGCCCAGCGTGGTTGGCACAGGGGAGCTGCCAGGCCGGGTCACTGCACCTGAAGCAGCCCTGGTGCAGGGGGCGTGGAGAGGCACAGGCTCGAGACGGGCTCCCATCTGACCACCGCCCCGGAGCCCCCTTATCAGCAGTTCCTCCTCACACTTCCGTAGCCCAGGGTTTGCCTCTTCCTTCTTCTGGCTCTAGCCCAGCGTTCCCTTGGCCCCGTTCCCCAGCCCTGCTTTGACGGTGACCTCCCCTGCCTGTCTGCACTAAAGGATCAACCCTCTTCCCACCGCTGCACGCTGCACTGAGCCGAGACAGCGGTCCAGGTGCCCAGGCTGCAAGGTGTGGAGTCCGCGCTGGTGCACAGCGGGAAACTGATCACCTCTGACCCTCATCCCTCCCTTTCCAGCGGCGCAATCTCACCCCTCCTGGATGCAAGCTCACAGCTGGCCCTCACCCGTGACTGCACAGTTATCCCCCTCAGGACGCTCACCTCCTCCCGCCTGTCTGAATCCTGCACACCCCTCTGGCCGAGCTCCTGCCCACTCTTCTAAGAAGCCTTTCCACACCCTTCCGCTTATTCTGCTCCTCCAGGCTCAGCTCAGCTTGGCCTAAGCAAGGCCCTGCTAGACCAGGCCACACCAACCTCATTCAGCTCCTAGGACCACCATGCTTGGTCCGGCCCCTGCCCTCACCTTGACCAGTTAATTCTTACCCACCCTCAGGACTCAGCTTCAAAGAGCCTTTCCTAAAACCACCTCCTTTCCCAATCTTCCCAGGTCCTATCAGACTCTACCATAGCACCCTGCTGTCCTTGATAGAATTATCAGCTTGTCATTAAATAACCGTGCAGTGGGTATTTAGGGACTGTGGATATCTGGTGCAGCTGGAGTGTGGCTAGTGGGAGATGAGGCCAGGAGGAAAAGACCTTGGATTGTCAGGCTAGGGATCTTGGACTTACTCTGTGGGCAAGAGAGAATTCTTTCAGGGTTCATGCAGAATAATTCGTTCTTGAGGGCCCTGAGACCTAGGGTTTAATGGCCTCCCCTTTTTTTTTTCACTTGTTTGGCTGGTTGTTTAGTTGGTTAACTGGCTAGTTAGATAGTTGGTTGGTTGAATTGTTGGCTGGATGGTTGAAAAGTTGATTGGTTGACCGATAAGTTATTTTATCAGTTGACTGGTTGGTTAGTTCATTAATTGGGTGGTTGGTTAGTTGATGGGAGGGGTGGGTGGATGGACAGATGGAGAGTAGTTTCATTAGTTAGCTGATTAGTTAATTCCTTGATTAGTTGTCTGGTTGGATGGGTGGGTAGCTGATTGACTGTGTCTTCCTCGGCCCAGTCCTCGCGCCTCCCCCATCACTGTGGGCCCAAGCTGGCCCTGCTTTTGGTTTTCCTGTTCCCACATTCATCAGGCCTAATGCCCTTTCTTCCTGTCTTTCCACAGGCACTTGTCCGGCTGCCACCCCATATTTCACAGTGTGATGAAGTCTTTCGGTTCTTTGAGGCCCGACCGGAGGATGTCAACCCCCCGAAAGAGTAAGTGGTAGCTCAAGCCTCTCCCGTGTGCTTGGGGGGAGAGCTGGCAAGGCCAACGAGGCTAAGCAAAGATGGACCAAAGGAAGGCGGGACCACCTTCCCCGACTCCTGTTGCCAAGGCTTGTTCCTTATTTCTCTTGACCCCAGAGCTGGCAAGGGAGGGTATCTTTGCATCTGGGGAGCAGGTTTTCCTGCAAACTCTTTATAGTTCACAGGTTATGGTCAGGAGCAGATGAGATAACAGAAAATATAATGGTCATGCGGTTCAGATGCCCAGGGTTAGCGGTCATTGCTCTTAATCGTTGACACTACCAAGCTCCCAGCTGAAACGCAGAACCAGGAGGGCACGTGCTGCCCAGGTGAGCCTCACCTGCTGAATACTCGAGTGGTCCTGGGCTGCTGCAGCAGATCTTACAATCATCACCGAAAACAACTGAGTGTGCACAGAGCGCTCACTACATGGCTTTTACCTGTAGCATTTTACTGGGCTGGCCAAAAAAGTTCGTTTGGATTTTTCCATAACATCTTACAGAAAAATCTGAATGAACTTTTTGGCCAACCCAGTCCAATAGACTAATGTAGCCCGGTTTACAGAGGAGAAAACTGAGGGGCGTGAAGTTAGGTGAATTTTCCCGAAGTCATGCAGCTGGTTGGGTATGTGACAGGCATGTGACTTGAATGAACCCAAATCTTGAACCCATGAGACTTGAACCCAGGGCTGGCTGACTTTCCATGTTGGGGAGAAATGGGGCGCCAAGCATGTCTTTTTTCCTCTCCGGAAGCAGGGTACTCTGGGCCTGGTGGTCAAGACGACCTACCCGGTCTTGCTGGTCTCCCACACACATGCCCAAACTCCATCCTCATGGCTACCTTCTCTTGCTCAGAACACTATCCTCACCCACACTCCCCAGAGTAGCTTCTCAATGGAGAGAAGAATCCAGGGGCTGGTGAGCAGAAGAAGGCAGCCAGGGAAGAGGGTCGAGTAGGGGAGAGGGTTGGGGGAGAGGACTGAAGGGGATGCACATTGATTACCTCACTCCATACATCTGTTCCCCTGAAATCTTCAAGTGCCAGACTGGACAAGAGAGAGGCAGATGGGGCGGGTGCTACAGGAGGAAGGGAAAGAATAGTGCAGAGGAATTGTCTGGGGCAGGTGGGGAGAGGCAGGAGGCCATCTGGTGATGGGGAGCAGAAAGCCTACAGACAAGGGTTGTTGCACAGCTCCAGGGGCGCCGTTGTGAACGGCGCACTCTCTGTGAACGGCGCCCATAGAGGTAGTAGAGTACACAGTCTGCACACCCATACGTGTCCGTCCTGCCTAAAGGAGCCCTTCTCTTTTCACCCATGCTGTAAGACTAAGAGCCTAAAGTGGCCTAGGCCCTCTGGGGGAGGAAAGCATTACTCAGCTCAGAGGCTCACCTGGCCCAACCAAAGCCATCTCCTTTACTGGCTACCAAAGGATTAAGAAACAAGCAAATGCTGTGAACCATCAGAAACTCATCACAGTGTGGTTCACAGTGTGGAGCAATTGAAAGCCACAGGGAGTGGGAGGTGTGGTGTTGAGCTCACACCCCGACTCTGCTGCTTACTGGGCACACGACTGGCTACACTCAGGTACCTTCCCCTTCTCTTTCTCATCTGTAAAAAAGGGAAGAGTGATTAATCCGTGATCTTGCTACCTCCAAGGATTGTCTTGGAAACTTAGATGACACGTGGGCTGGGCAAGAGGTTTGTAAACAACAAAATGAGATACAAATGTGTGTTCTCACCAGCGGGAAAAACATCGCTCTCTCTGTACCTACTATGCGTCAGGCTTGTGGGAGAGGTTTGCACCGGGAGTTACATGTTCTTGTCCCCATGTTACAGATGAGGAAACAGGTTCACAGCTGGAGCCAGGACTTGAACCCAGATTTTTCTGGTTCCAGAGGCCGGTACTCTTTCCACATCTCCTGCCCACCCTCCCTGGTTTGGGGAGGAATCAGGGGACCAGGACTGTGGTCCTGACACCTCTCAGTGCATCCGCTCTGTCCCCCCTCCTCTGTGTTCCCGTCCCTGCCTTCCTCACTCTCCCAAGGCAGAGGAAGGCTCTTGAGACCGGCAGCAGTGTACCGGGTCCACCTGGCCCTGCCACTCCCCAGCTATGATGGCCTCTCAGAGCCTCTTGTTCTCCTTTCTTCCACGGGGAGAGAGGAGATGCCCCTCCCCAGGTGGGTTGTCATTGGAGTCACACGTGATCATGTGCCCAGAGGAGGGGAGAAGAATTGCTGCTGGTGGGTGAAATAGCAGGTGCATCACCACAAAATCAACTGACCCTGCCTTTGGTTCGTGCCTCTGAACCCACTCCCTGCCAGGCAGCTAAATAAGCTGGTCCTGTTTCACCTGTTGACCTGAGCACCAGTAGCCGTAGGTTAGCCTCTTGCCCGTCCCTGGAAGGCCCTTGAGGAAGGTGGAAACCAGGCTCGGGAAGACAGTTGTGTGTTGGTGAGGCAGCAGGCATGGCTTTGCGGGGCAGGCTCTGGGGTCCAGGCCCACCACTCAAGGCTCTGTGATCTCTGATCATTTGCCCAGCCTCTCTGCCTTTCTGGGTCCCCATGCCTGAAAAGAGAGAATGCAGGACTCCTGGAGCGGCCCAGAGGGCTTACGGAGACGACATGTGCACTGAGATAACCCGGCTGGTGCTATGGGCCCCTTGGAAGCGCACAGCAGTTTTGTTCGTGGGAGGTTGTGGAATGGAATGGAATGTGGCCCTGTGCGTGCTCCAACCCTGCAGATCACAGCCTGGCTTTTGCAGGGAGGAGTCATAAAGCATTTAGCCTCTGAGTCACCATGGCCGCGGGGGTTATCTGCCTCTTTCTTGAGGTGGTACCGCACACCTGGGCCAGTTCACATCTCATCTGGCAAGAGATGGCCTGAGAATAGGAACCCCTCCAGCATGAGACGGGCCTGAGGCTCAGGGCGTGGGGTCGGCTGTGGCCACACAGTTCCAAAGGGCTTCTCCGCCCTGGCCCCTCTCAGCCTCCAGAACCTGCCAAGAGAGACCTGTGTCCTATGCAGAGTGTCCTCGCCATAGAGCCCAGACCCATGGGTGACCTGGGCTGACGGGCTGACCCTCTGTCAGCCAAGTGCCTGCAGCCCCTCCCTCTCAGGGCTCTGTCCCAGGCCACCGTACACCTCCCCCCTCCATCCTGAAACATAAACACAGGATGGAGGAACAGCGTTATTTTGACTCTGGGGCGACTGTGGAGTGGCTTATCAAATTATCAAAGCCTGTGGATTTAACTGGAATTTTGTAGATAACCCTGGCCTCTTTCAAGTGTGCTGCTGTGGGACCTCTGAGCGCTCACGGGGGCTGGGGTGGGGGGACCGTGGCCCTTTCCATCTTGCAGGGAAGACAAGGCCTGCAACAGGCCCGGCCCCTCGGCTTTGATCCCAGGCCGCTCGCTGGCTTCCGTGGGTGGAGGGTGGGGCCCACCTCCGGGCTGCTAGTGGCTGCGCTAGACCACCGTCCCTGCACAGAAAGGATGTTCTTTACAGAGACATTTGGTGAGCCTGGCACTGCAGCCTTGGTGGTTTCGCCTCCTCAGATGGCCGCCCCAGGAAGGTTGCTCGAGGGCCCTGCCCTCCCCTCCTTGAACTACTGGCCGACGGGTACTTCTGCTGTGTGGGAGCAGCGCTGAGTTCTCCTGGGGCCCCTGGCTCAGGCCCCAAACGCTGGCATTATTCTAGATTCACCTCTTTCCTTCACACCCCTCCATGCAGCTCGTCAGCACATCCTGTGTGCGCCACCTTCGGCATATACCCAGACCCTGCCCACAGCTCGCCACCTCCCTGCTACTACCCCAGGGGGCCGAGCCTCGTCTCACCCCTGGATTCTGGCCTGACTGGTCTCCCTGCCTCTGCCCTCGCCCGCTACGGTCCCTTTTCAACACAGGGGAAGGAATAATCTTTTAAAAATACAGGTCAGATCATGTCCCTCCTCTGCTCAAAATCCTCCGTGCCTCCCTTGTGGCTCAGAGTCGAGGCCCTTCCGCCTGCCCCTCCCGTCGCCCCTGGTGGCACCTCCTGCCTCTCCCTCCTGGCTCTGCTCCAGCCACTTCTCACACCTTCCAGCCACGTTCTGCCTTGAGGGCTTCTCACTGGCTCTTCCCTCCGCCTGGAACACTTCACCCCCTCCCCAGGAGAGCCCCAGCCTGGCCCTCCCCGTCCTGGCTTCATCTTCCTTCACGGAACTTATCACCACCTCCCATGTGACCTGTTCCCTCCCTAATGTTATTGTCAGTCTGGGAGAGCAGGAACCTCTACGTGTTCTGATCACACCGTAATCCCAGTGCCCAGAGCAGGCACTCAGGAGATTTGCCGGATGGATGAGTAATGTCATTCAGGCTTTCTGTTAGTCCCCCACAGGCGGTAGGCTGTGATGTGACCATTCGGAGAGATGAAGTGGCTCCCTGGAGGTCACCCAGCTGGCAAGGGGCGGCCAAGAGAAGCTGGGGATGACGCATCCTAGCCTCTCCTGTGTGGATTCTGGGGCAGCCGTGAGGCTGGCTTGGGGTGGAGAGAGCCCTGATCACCAGATCCGGAAGGAGGGGGATAAGGACACATCCCTGGAACTCAATGGGATTCAGCGCAGGACGAGTCCCGGGCGGTCCTGAGCGTCAACTCTGACAAGCAGATGGGCCTGGCCTCGTGCAGGCCACACCCAGCACCCCTGCAGCACCCAAGGTGACCCCCTGGGCTATGCACATGACCCACCCGGTCCTGGGGCCACACCTGCTGGCCCAGCTCTCCCTGGCTTACCTGTGTTTGAGCGCTTGAGACCCACATCCTGGACCACTGGACCAGGGGGGCAGGCGCCCCCTGGCCTGGCTTCCACAAGGAGCCCCCGAGCAGCCGGTCCCTCAGCTCTGATTTTCCTGTGATGAGAGTGATGGAAATGGGAGCTCAGGCTGCCGGGCAGGACGCCAGTTAACCACGTGACCCAGCAAATGCCTCTTTTAGTT